GGTGCAGGTGCCGGGGAGGGGGGCGCGGAGCCGGGAGCAGAACACGGGGGAGGGGCGGGGCCGGGACGCGGGTGCCCGTGGGGCTCGGGCTCAATTGCACGGGGAGCTGGGTCCGCTTGTGATTTTCCCCAGCGCCAGCAGGGGCTGTGGGGCGGGTGTGTGTGGGGCTGCCCCCGGGCACGGCAGGGGGGAGAGACTGTCCCAGCGCAGCCTTCCCCGGGCCCGGTGCATCCGGCCTGCGATGCTCTGCAAGCGGGCAGCTCAGCCTGCCAAAGGGGTGCCCGGCCTGGTTGCTGCTTCTCCTCTGAGCCCAGCGCAGAGACTGGACTTGATGGGTTCCCCAGGCCCCTTGCAGCCCTGGACCTCCGCCCCATTCCCATCCAACCACCCCTCCCGCAGCTTCCCACGCCTCTCTCGGTGTCTCAGACCAGCTACAGTTGTCAGGAAATAACTGGCTTTGCACCTGCTGAGTTCTGCCATGTTTCGGATGCCAGACCGACTCGCGCTCAGATGTGTGTCACGCATGAGCTGGCACAGCAGTGTCGCCGCAGGCTTCCCTGACAGTCATTTCACTGGCCCTTTGCTCCATGCTAGGTGGAATTTGTGTGATGAACAGTGTGGTAATTCAAGTGCACAAGGGGACGGAGTTAAGATTGCAGTAAAAATGATCACTGAATTTTCTGGCAGTTGGAATTAAACTCACACCTGTAAACTCACACCTGTAAACTCACACCTTTAATGTTGGGTTAAATGAGGCCTGTGTGTGTTAATTAACAAATGTCTTCCTATTTGAAATCTGCATTATTTAAGTTCATCCAAAATCTTAGTAGTTGTTGATGTATAGGCCGAAAAGTCACTATTTTTTAAAGCTATTTGTAATTTGCGGGGCAGTTGTTTCTCTTACCAAGCAACGGAAAGCTCTGAACACGGAAATTAGGGGTTGGGGGGGATAGAAAATTAAAGCATGGGGACCTTTAGTCATTAGGGCTGGGGTGAGTCAATAGGTGGATCATGAGTCAAATATGCATTGCCAGATGCTTTTGAATGGACCAGGAAATCTTTTTATTTACTTATTATTGTGGTGATGTCAAAATTGTGTCTGTAGGGTCTGGACCTTGTCCAAGAAATTTGGACCTTGACATAAAGTAATTTACTTACCCCTTGGTAGACGGGAGCAGGCCCCTGTTCATGGCAGGGGGGCAGTTGCTCCAGCCCCCACTGGTTACCTGGAACCAATAAGCATCACCAGTTAAGGGCGATCGATGTTAACCGGTTACTCTTTCAGAGCCCTAGTTGTTAAGTATTTGGATTATTGTGGCCGATATAGGATCAAAGCCCCAGGGTGCTGGGCTTTGTACAAATGTGTAAAAACAAGAGTTCCTGCCCTAAATAGCTTACAGTATCACGGATACTTTAACAGGGTCCAAAAAAGAACTGGATACATTCATGGAGGTTAGGCCCATCAATGGCTATTAGCCAGGATGGGTAGGAACGGTGTCCCTGGCCTCTGTTTGCCAGGGGCTGGGAATGGGCGACAGGGGAGGGTTCACATATGATTCTCTGTTCTGTTCTGGGGCACCTGGCATTGGCCACTGTCGGAGGACAAGACACTGGGCTGGATGGACCTTTGGTCTGACGCAGTCTGGCTGTTCTTATGGATAGGCTGAAGAAGAGTTAGCAGGAGTAAACTGTAATTTAGCCTCTAAAGTGTCAGGGAGTAGCTACAGCAAAGAATAGATGCCGTGAACAAGTGCGTACATAAAAATATGTAAATAAAAACTTTGGAAAGGGGGGTGGAAATAATGCCGTACATTACCATTAGATACTTTGTGTCTGTCTGTGTTGTACATTTCAGTGGAAGATGCTGCTCCTGCTCTGTCAAACCAGAGTCCTTTGCTCCTCTGCCCCTCGCAGAACAGGCCGGTGTGGAACCTGTCACGTTCAGGACGGGGTAGCAGGACTGGCTCAGTTGGCTTGGGGCTCCTTCCCTGTGGTTGAAATGGAGCCGGAGTCTCTGCCGAGCTGCCCCAGGTAGCTCATCGGACATGTGTGTTCAGCATAGGGATGTGAAAGGTTAACTGGTGGGGGCTGGAGCAGCCTGCTGCCCACTGCAGGAAGGGGGCTGCTGCCCCCTGGGTGAAGCAGCCACTGCCCATGGTGGTCCCAGCCCAGTCTGCTGTGGGTAGAGGCGCTTGACCTTGGGTGAGGTAGCCCCCACCCGTGCTGGGCCCAACTTGGCCCAGGCGTGCATCAGGCAGGGGGCTGCTCCAGCCCCGCTTGGCTGTAGCAGCCGGTCCGCATGCCTCTGTTTACTTGGTTAACCAGCTAACTGGTTAAACTTTATGGTTATCTAATTAAACAGGATTTTACATCCCTGGTTCAACATAGAGAAGTTACTAGGAGCCAGAAAGGGAGCTCCGAGTGCAACAAGGCTGCTTGGATATGGCTTAAATGGGGAAAAAATGCTACTTTGTCTCCTACGTTCCTAGATTCCAAAGCCAGAAGAGACCCATCTGATCATCCAGCCTGACCTGTGGCTTCCCCAAGCTCCCTTCTCTCGCCAGAAATACTCTGGTGACTGAGGCTGCTCTGGTTTGGCTTTCACTTGAGAGCTAAGCTGCAAGGCTCCAGTCCTTCCGGGAAAGCTGAGTTTTATTTGGTTTTTGGTTTTTAGAGAAGGGAAATAACCAGCCACTAAGAGGAAAGGCAACAAAGCTTTTGCTGGGATCATGCCTATGGCACATCGACACTGCACCCTCCTTGCAGGGGTGTGGAGAGCACGTAAATTGTACCTTCCCCAGCCCCAGTATAAATTTCCCCTGTGGTGATGAAAGGCTCCAACGCTGAACTAAAAATAGCCGTGTGGATGGCAGAGAGCTGCTTTGGGAATAGAGACGGGCCCATCTGTCTTTCTACAGGCCCAAGTTTTGCCTCTGCCAGCATCTCTGCTATTGTCACAGGGAAAAGCTCTGGCAGCTGCCACCGCTGGAACTTTGCACTGACGGATGTAGCTACACACCAGCTTGTACCTGGGCCTACCCTGTGTGCCATCGCCCACAGTATGCCGTGTGGACATAGTCCCACTGTGAGCAATCTCACTGTGCTTCCATTCATTGACCTACGGCGGCTCCTCTTTTGCCCTGTTTCACCGGGCAGCTCCCCAGCCCCATTCTGGCCTGCAGTGGTACCTTGCAGGATCATTGTTCTGCCACGTTGAAATTAGCATATGTGCATGGATAGCTGGTGTCCCAGCCATTGGGGGAAGCTAGCCCCCAGCCCCTCCCAGTCTGCCTGAGGCCCCGCCGCCTCTGCAGGATGCTGGAACACTGCCACCATGGTGCTGAGCGGCCGGTTGGCACAGTCCGGGCAGCCAGCACAGCCCCGGCATCTGCCGCCTAAGTCCCCATGGCAGGCTGGCCAGCTCCAGTCAGCATGGGGCAAGGCAGAGCATGGATGGGGCCATGCCAGACTGTTTGGAGAGGCACAGCCTTTGATACCCACCACCCCATCCAGGGGAAGTCTTTCAGCCACAGAAGCGCACCCTAAGCAGTGGCTGTGCAGGTTTCCCCATGTAGCTCTGAGAATCTGTCTCTATCCAGATTGAGCATGCCCAGGAGGGATTCCTCGCTCAGTAGAAGAAATGCTAGCTCAACAGGAAGAGTGCGAGGTGGCTCTGAATAAAGCAGCTGTTCCTTCGGGGCTGCGGCAGGACAGGAAGGATGTGAGCTGGAAAGAGCTCGCTGATTTCACAGAGAATGCCCAGGAACGTTTGAGATCCCAGCTGGTATGGAGCTGGGCAGTCCCTGCGGTCCT